TTAACAAAAAAATCATGATCTCCGACCTCAAAAACCCCACTTACCAATTTTGAATGGAATCGGACCAAATCTTGTCCGCCATATTGGAGCATCCTTTTTTTTTTATTTCAACAAAAATTCCATAACTCCGATTAACTTGAAATTTGGCAGATGTTCATAATTTCGGTGACAATACATTATGGAATTTTTGTTGAAATTAAAAAATAATGAGGTCGGAGATCATGATTTTTTGTTAAAATTTATAAATTCAAGATGGCGGCTCCCAAATAATTGTTTGTTTTTGTGTAATGACGATAACTCCGTTGTATCAACACAAAACTATTACTGCGATATACCATCTGAAAGAGACTAAAAAGTTATTTGTAAATAAGTCATAGTGAGCTATGACCTACATTTGAAAAACTATATAAAGTTGGTGCTGATATCTCAAATTCTAGAAGAGTTGGTATAAATTTCAAATTTTTTTCGAAATCACTTTGAAAAACTGCCATGAGAATGTGGAATTTCTATTTGAATATTTTCATAAATGAAGAAGTTACGCAGGAGACATGAAAATGATCAAAATCTGTTTTTTGCGTATAAAACAAAAACGAATAGATTTTATCAAAATATTTTTTCACATTATAGTTGGCCTTGACAAACTCCACATTTGGTGTCATTTAACCGACCTCGTATCTCTCACCTTTAAAAAGATACCCATGGTGAGCATGGTAAGTGGGACACACTGCATACGTGTTTTAGTAAACTATGAACTAGTCTCAGGGACAAACGGTACATTTTTTTATATAAATAACTTAGATCCAATCAACTCATTTTGAACTAGGGGGACACCCAGTATATTAAGCTTACAAAACAATTTGTTTCCTGGCTGACTTGATTTTTATTACAGCGGTGTCAATGGATATGTATTCGAAAATGCCTACTCTAGAGTCTCATAGCTATCAAGTAAATGACGACAGAAAAACATTTTCGGATGAAAGTTGGTGAAACAAATATGTTCTTCCTGGATAAGAAAAAACAATTGTGAATTTGTAAAAAACCAAATTTTCTGACTCCATTTCCGCCATTCTGAAAGAGGATGAAAAATTTTGAATATAAAAAAATATACCTCACACACAGCTATTTTAATGTATCAATGAAACATATTAGGAATTGTTTCAGAAATCTCCTGAATTCGAAAAGGTTTTAATAGTTATATGGCTCATTTTGAAAAAACAATTTTTAATTTCATCAATGATTCCACTTCTACAGGACGTTTTTATAAAAAACTTCGGCAGATGATAACTGCGTTGATTCTGAACATTTCCTCTTACCCAGAATATCTCAACCGCACGCACTTTTAGATCATTTGATTGATTTATTGTCTATTATCATTGCAGATTGAAAGTTATTGAGAGTGAGTGTTTATGAAATGAAAGCAAAGTTACAATTTATAATCGACTGTTTTGCTGTTTCACTTTTTACTATCTGAACCAAAGTGTATTTTTGTTTAACATAAGGTTGAAACTAGTGAAACTTCTTTGGAATAATTTTAAGCAGAGTATGATTGTGAATGTCTTAGTTGAAACATAACATACACTTTACCTTACTATTTTAAAATTCTATTTTATAAGATTTAATATATGTACAGAATGTAAAAACGACCACAATAATAATATTAATATATTCTATTTATCAGGTATCTGTGGGATCTTTTATTTCAGACCAAAATGATAACTGATTTTATGTTTATTTTACCTGTGTCTACTGATACAGAATGATTTACATAATTCATTTTATATATTTCAGTTTCATAAATTCATAGTGTCCTAAAAAACTAGTAGTTTGAGGTCATGAAGGCATAGTAAATATTGTTTTTCTACATTCATGCAAAAAGCAGAACTTAATTGAACTATATTTAATGGAAAATGAAGTACTTTATAGTGCAATAAAGTTTTTATTGCACTCATCTGTCATTCTACTTCAACGTGCTGTCATCATGACAAACATTTTTTATATTGCAACTGTGGTTATAGAAACGTCAGTCAAAAATTAAGTTGCGTTTTCCATTTTCCTACACCTAGTGCCGCACCTCAATGAATCATTTTTTGCTTTTTGCATGAACGTAGAAAAAATTTTGTATGCAACTTCACTTTTTGCACTTGCTGCATAAATAACTATTTATTTATCTGAACTTCGTGCTAAGAGTTCGTATACAAATTCATTTTTTTCTTGCTCAATATAAATGCATTCTCTCGGACACATAGGATGTCAGAAGTATGAAAAGAAAATTAGGTTCATATAATTTCTCTCGAAACTCCTGTGAAAAAAATTAAACTTGGTATACTATTTCAGAAAAATTAATATCATCTTATGGAATTTCAATTTTTGAATTTCGTCAAGCTGTGACTACTAGATGAATTGTTAAATTCGTGTGGAAAGGTAGTCGTTGCTTAGTTAGGTATCGGCTAGTAAATAGAAAGGTTTTGCAGCAAGTAAAAGAGAACTCTTCGAAGATTATCCAATCTTTCGGAATTTTATTGATTCCATCATCAGGGAAAACTACAATAATTATTGTAAGTGATACAATGTTTGTTGTCAAAAATTATTGTATTCTCATCTACGTGAGGATTAATACCATGATGTTAACTATAATTATTAAAAATGACTTGTGATACATCATCCAGGAAATCACAACTTCGTTCCTAAGCAGTCAGAATACTAGCGGCACCCATATCTCAAAACTGCTTCAATTATACATCAACAGGATCATTGGAAAATAGCTACTATGTAACATTTATAATACCAAATATGTAACTGTACTACACAATACATGCAATGTTGCAATTACTTTACTTGAATATAATGAATGAGAGAAAATCATATTCATAATTTTGCTATTGATGTTTCGTTTGTTTGCATGCCTCGACAGGCTGGACGACAATAATGAAAGTTTTTCGTCCTCGGTACTCAAATAACTATTAATAAGTGCACAGGAATCCACAAATCCGAATGATCGTCTCTCTTAAAACACCGTGGCTTCCCGCCTTGAAAAACCCTCTCAGCAGAATTTTCCTGCTTGTATCTAAAAGTCGCACTAATTTAAGCAACAAAGTGAGGCGGCTCAACTTCTGGAGAAGTCGACAAATTCTCCAGGACGAATCGGTCGTATTGTCCTTCCATAAAATCTGTGCTCACAGGAGTATCATGATTTTTGAATAGAGGATATTGCTATCCTATAATTCTGTGAATATTTGTCCCACCTTCACCCTGTATACATCTTCATTTCATTTCTGTTACTTTTTAATACTCGATTTGTTTTTTGAGTGCAGAGGAGCTCTAATAATTTTCGTATTTTGGAATAAACATGTTTCGTAATTGCATATATTAGTTTCGTTTTGTATTTTTATTATCATCAATATTCTCATTATTTGTGGAATTTTCTGATTATTACATTGTTGACATTGCTGATTATTCACGAGCTTGAGTAATTTGTCTTGAAAGTTCTAGGCAGTGTTCCTTTGTTCTGTATTGATGAAAATTTGACATCAGTGTAGAATTGATTAACCTCACTAATTGATGTGTTGAAAAATAGGAATATGAAGGAAATAGTTATTTATGCAACAAGTGCAAAAAGTGAATGTTTATTGCACTCGAAGTGAGATTGCCCGACGAGGCCGTTAGGCCGAGTTGGACAACACGTCGAGTGCAATAAACAATTTTTGCACGAGTTGCATACAACATTTTTTCTACGTTCATGCAAAACGCAAAAAACGATTTATTGAGGTGCGGCGCGCACTAGGTACAATTCTGTTAATTGTCAGAATTAATTTTTGAGTGACGTTTCTATAACCACAGTTGCAATATAAAGAATGTTTGTCATGATGACAGCACGTTGAAGTAGAATGACAGATGAGTGCAATAAAAACTTTATTGCACTAAGTGCAATAAAGAACTTCTTTTTCCACTAAATACAGTTCAATAAAGTTCTGCTTTTTGCATGAATGTAGAAAATAAATATTAATGAAAGAAGTTTCTGGGTTTATAACCGTGTTTCTGTTTTCCAATTGTAACTAATGAAGTAGTTGGAACAAATAATTTTCCATAGATCATTGAAAACAAAATACTAGCAGTACCCAAAATATCTCAAAACTACTTCAATTATTCATCAAAAAGATCATTGGAAAATAGCTACTATAAAATATTTATAATACCAAATATGTAACTGTACAACATAATACATGCAATGTTGCAATTAATTAAATTTAGAAAATTATTAAATAATATTATTGAACGTCCGTTTCAACAGTTGTTTCGACCATGCAGTGAAATAGTGAATAATAAAATACTGCTACAATACTGTTGAAATTTACTCTTTCGTTGACCTCTACAAAAAATGACATTAACGTACTAATAATTACCGAATGAAAAATCGACTAAGTATTTTTGTCCGCAAACTTTTCATTCCCTGTGGTCACAATGATACGGCACGGTACGAGAGCGGCGATTGAGTTGACTATAACTGTAATTTGCAAAATAAATTATTTACTAAATCCGACAGATTCACCATGTAAATAAGACAAAAAGTAATATGCACCTCGGCGAAAATCTGACTATTAAATTGTCTCGTCTGTTTGCTAGCCTCGACAGCATGTTTCTAGAAGTCGCCCTAATTTCAGCAACAAAATGAGGCGGCTCAACTTCTTGAGAAGTCGACAAATCTTCCAGGACGAATCGGTCGTCTTGTCCTAAAAAAATGGTGCCCACAGGAGTATAGGTGATTTTTGTATAGAGGGTATTGCTATCCTTTAATATTGTGAATATTTGTCCCACTTTCACCCTGCATGAATTTTCATTTCATTTCAGTTACTTTTTAATACTCGATCTGTTTCATGAGTCCAGAGAAGCTCATCCAATATTTTTCGTATTTTGGAATGAACATTTTTTCGTGATTGCCTATTAGTTTCGTCTTGTATATATATATTTGTTTATAATTACTATCAATATTCTCATTATTTGTAAAATTTTCTGATTATCACAATGTTGACATTGCTGAGTATTCACGACCTTGAAAAGTAGTAGTAATTTGTCTTGAAAGTTCGCTAGGCATTCTTGTCCTGTGCTCGTTTGTTCTGTATTCTGTATTGATGAAAATTTGACATAAATGGAAAGTTAATCAACCTCACTCATTCATGTGTTGGAAAATGGTTGAAAGAAATAGATATGAATTGAAGAAATTTATGGGCTTATAACCGTGTTTCTAATTGTCTAGTTGTGACTGATAAAATAGTTGAAACAAATAATTCTTTGAGGAACACCAACATCAAAATACTAGCGGTACCGGTACCCATAATATCTGGAAACTGCTCCAATTATACATCAACAGGATCATTGGAAAATAACTACTATGTAACATGTATAATACCAAATATGTAACTTCACTAATAAAATAAATGCATTGTTGCAATCCATAACTTTACTGAAGGTCCTATTCAGCAGTGGTTGCGACCATGCAGTGAAATAGTAAACAATAAAAAACTGCTGGAATACTGCTGATATTTTACATGTAAATAGGACCGTGTTCAAGGTCGTCGAAAAAATGTAATATGCACTTCGGCGAAAATCTGATAATGGTCTCGTTTGTTTGCATGCCTCTGCAGGCTAGTCGACTATAATAGACAGTTTTTCGTCCTCGGTACATAAATAACTATTACTTAGTGCACAGGAATCCACAAACCCGAATGATCGTCTCTTTTAAAACACCGTGGCTTCTCGCCTTGAAAAACCCTCTCGGCAGGATTTTCCCGCATGTATCTAAAAGTCGCCCTGATTTGAGCAACAAAATGAGGCGGCTCAACTTCTGGAGAAGTCGACAAATTCTCCAGGACGAATCGGTCGTCTTGCCCTTCCAAGAAATCGGCGCCCACAGGGCATGAGTAGTCGAAAGGACCGATGGTGAAAAGTCCCGTGGCGGGATCGTAGATGTCGAGGATTCTTCGGTTGCCCGATAGATGGCGCGCGCTGCGGAGGTGTTCTTCCGGGCCTTTGTCCGGAAAGGTAGCCGGGAATATTTCTCCTGGAAGAGAATATTGAGAATACTCATTACGAAGGTGCTGATTTCCTTTGTTGTACATTTATGAAATGGCTTTTATTATTTTATATATATTTTATTTTTATTTCAACTTCTTTTTAGTTTGGCTATCGACGTTTGTCCACTTCAAGGATATATCACCCCTAAAAATTGTCATTATCTGATCCATTTCGAAAATTTTTTTTTTATTGGATAACTATTTGAAGAGTGCTTTTATTCTTGGACTGTTATCGTGGCCAACTGTGACCAATTTTATTGACATTTATTTCAGATAGTATTATTAGTATAGTATATTAGTATTTCATATAGGGATTCGTTTTCACAAAAAATAGTGATGGATTCTGAATCAGGATTATTTGAAACATATTTGTACCGATTTTCATCATTATTAAACCCAGGGAGTATGGGAAAACGAATTTATCATTATAATAAATTATGCTATTTCATTGGGTCTCAACACCAACAAAGATTGTTCTCAAAAGATGTGCTCTCGAACTAACACCTGTTTTCTGCAAGTTGTTCAACTACTCTTACAAATTGGGGATATTCCCGTTCAACTGGAAAATTGCAAGAGTGCAACCACTTCCTAAAATAGGCAAAAAGACCCAACCTAGCAACTACAGACCGATGGCACTGCTATCTATCATTTCAAAGATCATGGAGAAAGCTATCAACATGGAGCTCAAAATATCTGGAACATTCTGGTATTATAAACGATAGGCAATATGGCTCCCATCATCAGAGATCAACTGGTGATCTGCTCGCTTATGTCTCACATATATGGCAGCAATCTATTGAAACATATGGTGAAACCTTAGCCGTAGTACTAGATTTCTTCAACGCATTCGATCGAGTCTGGCACCACGGACTCCTCGCCAAGCTTCCATCTTATGGCTTGCCTCCCCAGCTATGTCCCCTGCTAGCTAGTTTGCTCTCAGACAGGTCTCTCCATGTAGTGGTCGACGGAGTTTTATCTGACTCTCTTATCATAAATGCTGGTGTTCCACAAGGATCAATTCTAGTACCAACACTATTTCTACTCCATATCAACGATTTGTTGGAAGCAACTTCATGTCCAATACACAGCTTCGCGGATGATAGTACCCTCCATACCGGCTTCTCTTCCAGGGATCCAATACCAGCCAGGCAGATCATAAATGAACGAGGGAGAAATGTTGACAACATAAATATGGACTTGCCAACAATTCTCGAATAGGGATCCAATAACTTGGTAGATTTCAATGCAAACAAAACACAAGCATGCCTTTTCTTCAGAAAAGCCGATCTCACTGTGCCCAATATAAGCTTTAACCATACCTTTGAAGACATCCATTTCGATGCTTGGTAACTATCAGCAATAACCTTTCTTGGGAAAATCACGTGAGATCATTTGCTAAAAGTGCATCCCAAAAACTTGGTTTTCTGTTTCGGGCCAGGACTCATTTCACTTACAGTCAGCTGCTCATGATCTATAAGGCACAGATCCGACCTGTCCTCTAATACTGTTCCCATATTTGGAGTACAGCACCCAAACATACCCCGAAACTGTTGGATTCCGTCCAAATAAGGGCAATTCGTCTCGTGGGTGATGCCTCGCTCACAAACTAACTCACTTCTCTGGAACACCGTAGAAAATTTGGCGATCTGGCTCTATTTCGTAGATATTTTCATTAACGATGCTCTTCTGAAATATCAACAATTGTACTTCCCTTGGCAGTCACCGCGAGATTAACCCGTCGAGTTGAGGCTTCGCACCCCTTCGTGGTCACTTTGGAGACCTGCAGAACATCTCTTTTCAAAGACTCGTTCATCTTACGAATAACGAGGCTCTGGAACACATTGCCAAGGGAGGTGTTCCCCGAGGCATATTACCTCCAGAAATTCAAGAAGAACACTAATTCCTACCTTATTTCCCTTGGTTCTCACATGTTCTCTGAACATCACAGGATATCCTTGTTCGTGAGAACCAAAACTTGAAAAAATACTATTATGCTATTGTCATCGGTCCTTGATAAGTGTGCTACGTTTCAATTCAATTAAGAATAGGATTAGATATTTCTCTATGATATTTATCTACAAAGCACATTGTGCTTTTCCAACGTACTAAGATTTTATTACTTTCAATTATCAAATTCACGATCATGAAACAAGAGATAGATATGATTTTCATATCAATCGTACAAGATTGACTGGAGCGACTATAAATTAATTATTCCACCAAGGTATAGTAGATTATAATAAACGACCCATGGAAATCAGATCGACTACTACAATTATAATTGAGTATTTCGAATGGAGATTTGGGTCCTACCAAGAAGGCATAGATATTCATTACATTTTATGAAATATTTATTGTACTGTGTTGAATTAAAATTCCATTTCATTTTAATTTTCATCTATTCATTGTATGCATTATAATTACTATTATTATTTATATTTGTGAATTAGGACTTTTAATTCAAACAAAGATTATTTTTATATTAGACGTTCTGAAGTGGGTCAAGATCATGTTCGAAGAATCGTCAACAAACAACCATACAAACATACAAAGGTACATTCCATACTAATTGAGTCGTGTTAAAAAAATAATGAAAAAAAGACCGTTGAATTGAAGTGTTGTTGAGCCTTACTCGAGGCCTCACTATAAAAAATCACCAAAGATACCTATTAAATAAGGCCTAGTTTGATCGACACGAATCATCACAGGGTCTGCAAAATTCAGTGGCAAACTTTTTAAATTTCAAAGCACTGTATTTTTCTTATTTCAAATTCCTATCGCATCAAAAGTTATTAACTGAAAACTGGTGTATTATCAACTATTCTAATAACCTGAGCGATTTGGACCTTCAAAGAACAGCGCACAAGTCTACAGCTCGACAGCTTTGGTAAACAATATAATTCGGCGAAATTATTAGACAACAAGCTGCCGTAACAATCGCCGAATATTTCGGACAAAATAGTATCATTTGTGGTATTACATATAATAAAACTCGAGATTCATGATGGAACTTTCAATAACATACCAGTTTTGACGCTAACACCGACTCCATATAAAATCGGCCATGGGACGCCATCCCGAATATCGGTGTTCATTTGTCCCACACAAGCCAATGTCAAATGAATGTCTACAGGATGTTGGTGAAAGGCCTTCATCAAGTCACGAAACAACTTCTCGGATATACAGTGGGTATCGGTAAAGCCTCCTACGAGTTGAACTTCGATTCTTCCGTCAAGACTGGATGACAGCTTTTGAACTTTATCGATGATATCATAGACGGCTTCTTCCGTACCTAGGGATGGAAAAAGTATACAGGGTGAGCCAGTATGAGACCGGCAAACTTCGTATACGGATTGCATAACTCATTTTGTAGTGAGAAGTTTTAAAAGTGAAATGCATCCTCTCTGAGATAAAAGGTGTCAGAAGTACGAGATTTATGTCAATTTCTTCAGAACCCATGTGGTAACAAAATTGAAACTAGTTATACTTTCCCAAAATGACCAATGTAATCACACGAAGTTCTAATTTTTGAATTTCGTTAAGCAGTGGTGTAGTTACAGTCCTTGTCGCCACATTTTCCTTCATATTATTTCTCAGGCAGACGAATGGGCAAATTGGTGTATGATATATCAGTTAGGCTCCCCAATACCTAGCCTAGAATTCATTCACATTCCTGTAGGTAGAGGTTTATGAGATATTCCTGAGATTGGATATATGTCTTGCGAGCGAGGTCTTTAGATGATATTGATCGACCTGATAGAATTCAAATCGCATAATGCTGATCTTTACGAGACATCCATATACTTTTCAAACTCCTGAACATGTTTGAATGTTCAGATAATTGGAGGGTGAGTAAGAAAGTAAATTGACAAACTAATTTATTCTTATTCCACACGTTATTTCGAGGTGAAAAATTAATAATTGAGGAAGATGGAACACTAGCCACAACTGCCCAGGAGTAAGCCAACATTTTCGCGCATTTATTTGCTGCAAATTCCACTCTGGATTCTTCGGAAAAACAACCTCCAAATATAACGCCAATTGACAGTCATATGCCCGAGATCACCTTTCGCCAACGTGTAAAGTCGGGAACATTAAAACAACCTGAGGACCTTCGATGACCAAGTTTCTTTATTGATTGCCGGTGAAAATCCTTTTTGGTGCACATCGCACCGATATTATCATAACCCAAAAAAACCTGCTTACGTTTATTAAACCGACGTATAGGTACAAGAATATAGTTTCCAAATATTAAACATATAACAAATATAATTATAATAACTGAATCATCTTTATAATGAGGTTGGTGTAACCGTGATAGCAATGATGAAATGTATTGACAATTTTTAATATGAACGGTTTGATGAACTCAAGCTGTTACAAACGTACTATAAGGAAGATTTTATTGGGTCTCAACACCAACAAAGCTTGTGGCTCCGACGGAATCCCACCGATTGTTCTCAAGAAATGTGCTCCCGAACTAACACCTGTTCTCTGCGAGTTGTTCAACGACTCTTACAAATTGGGAATATTCCCGTCCAACTGGAAAATTGCAAGAGTAGAACCAGTTCCGAAAAAAGACCCTACCTAGCAACTACAGACCGATCGCACTGCTATCTATTATTTCAAAGATCATGGAGAAAGCTGTCAACATCGAGCTCATGAAATACCTTGAAAATTCAGGTATTATCAACGGAAGGCAATATATGGCTTCCGTCATCAGAGATCAACTGGTGACCTGCTCGCTAAAGTCTCACATATATGGCAGCAATCAATTGAAAAATATGGTGAAACCTTAGCCGTAGCACTCGATATCTCCAAGGCATTCGATCGAATCTGGCACCACGGACTCCTCGCCAAACTTCCATCTTATGGCTTGACTCCCCAGCTATGTTCTATGCGAGCTAGTTTTATCTCAAACAGGTCTCTCCATGTAGTGGTCGACGGAGTTTCATCTGACTCTCTTATCATAAATGCTGGTGTTCCGCAAGGATCAATTCTTGCACCAACACTATTTCTACTTCATATCAACGATTTGTTGGAAGCAACTTCATGTCCAGTACACAGCTTCGCGGATGATAATACGCTCCATACCGCCTTCTTCTCCATCAGGGCTCCAATAAAAGTCATGTGAATCAGAAACGAACGAGGGAGAAATGTTGACAACATAAATATGGACTTGGCAACAATTCTCGAATGGGGCTCCAATAACTTTGTAGATTTCAATGCAAACAAAACACAAGCATGCTTTCTCTCTAGAAAAGGCGATCTCACTGTGCCCAACATAAGCTTGTCAGGAGTACCATAACTTTGAAGACATCCATTTCGATGCTATCAGCAATAACTTTCCTTGGGAAAATCACGTGAGATCAATTGCTAAAAGTGCAACCCAAAAACTTGGTTTTCTGTTTCGGGCCAGGAGGTATTTCACTTCCAGTCAGCTGCTTATGATCTATAAGGCAGAGATCCGACCTGTCCTGGAATACTGTTCTCATATTTGGAGTGCAGCACCCAAACATACTCTGAAACTGTTGGATTCTGTCCAAAAAAGGGCATTTCGTCTCGTGGGTGATGCCTCGCTCACGAACTCACTCACTTCTCTGGAACACCGTAGAAAAGTTGGCGATCTGGCTATATTTTATAGATATTTTCATGGACGATGCTCTTCTGAAATATCAACAGTTGTACCTCCCTTGGCAGTCCCCGCAAGATTAACCCGTCGAGTTGAGGCTTCGCACCATTTCGTGGTCACTTTGGAGACCTGCAGAACATCTCTTTCCAAAGACTCGTTCATCCAACGAACAGCGAGGATCTGGAACACTTTGCCAAGGGAGGTGTTCCCCGAGGCATATAACCTCCAGAAATTTAAGAAGAACACCAATTCCTACCTTATTTCCCTCGGTTCTCCCTCAGAAGTCTTCAGAACGTGTGATCCCAAACACTTTCTTGGGCCATCAGAAAAATGTCTGCGGTCGTGGTGGGAATCAAACCCACCTACCGGTAATCCGACGTGAATAAAATATTAACACAACAGATACAGGGTGATCAAAATTCTGAATCTTGGACCATCCTGTATTTTTTCCAATCAAATGTCGGTAGATAGTTAATCAAAAGTTATATAGGGACATGTGAGCCGTTTTGACCAATGATAAATAGTTTCGACACAAAAAATCCTAAAGTTGAAAAATCTCGATTTTGAACACCCTATATCTCTGTAATAATTCCTGCTAGACTCCAAGTGTGATGCATTGATGAAATCAGCTCTTCGAGAAGAGTCTGAAAACGCAATAAAATACAGGGTGTTCCATTTGAAATAACAAAGATGATGCTACTTTTTGGTAAAAGTGGCAACGCTGTTCCGCTGAAAATATTTTGAATCGTTAGATCACAAACGCTTATTAGAGTAACCAAATTTTCAGGATAATCCAATGTACGGTGTTCCGTATACGTCTAAGGTACCATCGACCGTAGGCCACCCTGTATACAAGGTCAAATTACGTAGGAAAAAGTTGTGAAATTAATTCATTATCTTATTCGCCAGGACGGAAGTATGTACGACTTCATAGGGGCTTCATTATAAAAGCTTAAATTTAATACGTCAATATGACGTCTTGAAATATGACGTCATTCATAGGTCATATTTTGGGCAGAGACATCGTGGACCAAAAATGACGAAAAAATTACGTCAATATGAAGTCTTCTTACGTCACTCTGCTACCTGGGAACAGAGAAAGGATATGTTCCGTTAATCAACCGAGGTTACCGATGCTTTCAGGGCCAGTACCAACAAATTTGACAGTGGTTATGTACTGGTGACTACGGTAGTGGTTTATTTACATTCGTAAAATCAAATTATGGCACCCAAAAGTCTAATTATTGTGCACAGTAAGCACAAGCTCAATATGTAGTATCCCGAAATAAGAAATAGCATAAAACGGAAAATATATAGAATATTATTAATTTACCTCAGTAAACGAATCCATCATGATTGTGATTTGTAAATCGAAAAATAAAACCGAAAACTGAAACACGTCGTCAACTCGAACTTACCAAACTTACCAGATAAAATCCATGGTCGTTCTGGTGACAGTGAATCTACCACTTTCTCAGCAACCGAGTACCGTAATAGAAGATTGTTTTATTAGGATCAAAAGTGACACTTTGTTTGACAAGCGAATTTTGCATTTGCGAGGCGGAGTGTTAGCGAAGCCGAGCGAAAGCAAAATTCGCGAGTCGAACAAAGTCACTTTTGATCTGAATGAAACATGCTATTTTTTCTGCAACCGAAACAATTAACTCAAATAAAAATGTGAAGTAACCACCAATGCCGTGCCATATATGTATGCAATGCAACAAATATTGACAAATAATCCATTTGGTGAGAATATTCTACCTGCATTAACAGCAGGTTAGGTTTTCTAGGATGTTCGAATTGTAGTTTCAATATAAATACAACCACAGAGTGACATATTTGTGTATGGACCAGGGACCTATAGGAACAAGACGTGGAAAATGTTAGGTTAGTGAGCATATCAACAATGATAATAGTGAGTATTCATTCCTCTCCATACTACACTGTGTTTGACTTGATAATCAAATATGAAGCTGAACAATATCGTTGTTTGAGACAAAAAAGTATTGTTTGCCGCGATTATTCAAAAACAAGTTATCCATCCCGAGAATAACGAATGAAATACAGATCAAGCAAGTATTTGAATCTTGAAGGCTTCCCTGATCAAAACAAAAATACTTAATGAGATGTTTATAGTTCCAATACTAAACTTAAGTAAGGTGTATTTATATCTCAAGCATGGGTATGAATTGCCAAATCTGCTGAAATCGGAAACAAATCAGGTATGCGTCTCAACCCAAATAACCAACAGTCACAATATTGTATATTCTTGATGACGTCCAGTAGATCCATTTTAGTTAATAGGAGCTAAAGTTCAACTTTAGCTCCTAGGAACTAAAATTCAACTTCAGCTCCTAGGAACTAAATATGTTGCCTAGCAACATACCTATTTTTGTGTCAGTAATAGAAACGTCAATTTAAGAGCTAATTTTGGTATCAAAATGGACGACTTTTGTGTCGGTTGCAGAAAAATAACCTTTTTTCAGGAACCAACCGACTATATTTCATATTTACGGAACGAAAAACTACTAACCAAAGCAACCAAGTTGCTTTACTGAACATATACAAAGTCATGGAAATAAATTAAGTTTAGCAGGTAGAGCAAGCACCAACGAAAATGCCTAACACGTTACAATGGCAACCTAATATATTTAATTAGACCTTGGTTTTCACTCACCGGAACCATCAAAATGGCCCAAAGCAACAGCACCAGTCCCAGAATGTCTCACAACGACGATGATGCAAGTCGTAGCATCTTCTGAACCAATGACACTCACATTCTTGTCATCAGGCAGCGTGACTGCAAATTCCCTTTGTAGAACGTACAGAAGACCAGCAGGGCCTACTACTCTTTTCGGTAATGCCAAAAGCGTTGTGGCAGTCTCTCGATAAATCGGGTGGGAGATGTAGAGAGATCGGGTATCTCTAGGGTATTCTGATTGTGGAATTCTGTTTAGTATGATCACCATTTTTCAGGAATCTAGAATGGGCGAGTGGATTGATGATAAATTATTGGCATTCAAAATGTTTTAGTCTACCATATACGATTTCGCAAGGAATTGTTTTCTGATAGCATAATTTTACACATGATTACCTATATCCCTGACCCGAAAGCAGTTGAGCAGTTTTTTGATGAAGTATCGAAAAAAATATTTTCAAAATTTCTGTTTTTTTCGTGTGGAGTCTACCCGAGAGTCTACCATACGATTTCGCAAGGAATTATTTTCTGATAGCATGATTTTACACATGATTACCTATATCCCTGACCCGAAAGCAGTTGAGCAGTTTTTTGCTGAAGTATCGAAAAAAAATATTTTCAAAATTTCTGTTTTTTTCGTGTGGAGTCTACCATACGATTTCGCAAGGAAATATTTTCTGATAGCATGATTCTACACATAATTACCGATATCCCTGACCCGAAAGCAGTTGAGCAGTTTTTTGCAGAAGTATAAAAAAAATATTTTCAAAATTTCTGTTTTTTTCGTGTGGAGTCTACCATACGATTTCGCAAGGAATTATTTTCTGATAGCATGATTCTACACATGATTACCTATATCCCTGACCCGAAAGCAGTTGTGCAGTTTTTTGCAGAAGTATAAAAACAATATTTTCAAAATTTCTGTTTTTTTCGTGTGGAGTCTACCATACGATTTCGTAAGGAATTATTTTTTGATAGCATGATTCTACACATGACTACCTGTCTCTCTGGTTCAAAAGCAGTTGAGCAGTTTTTTGCAGAAGTATCGAAAACAAATATTTTCAAAATTTCTGTTTTTTTTTTTCGTGTGGAGTCTACCATGCGATTTCGCAAGGAATTATTTTCTGATAGCATGATCTTCCACATGATTACCTATCTTTCTGACACGAAAGCAGCTGAACTTTTGCAGAAGTATCGAAAACAATATTTTCAAAATTTCTGATAGCATGATTCTACACATGATTACCTATATTGGTATTGGTATTGGTAGGTTGGATGGTGACAGATGCGCTGCGACCCAATTAGATCTATTGTGCCCCATCTGCTTCTGATATATCAAGGATTCCTTGTTCATAGCAGCCCCTCGAGATTCAATTCCTTCAGGAATTTGAGAATTTTGAGGGGGTCTAGCTGTGGTATTTCTTTCACAGTCAGCTGGTGTGTTCCCAGTATGTTCAATCTTTTGTGATGTACAGCGTCAGACTCCATCAGTTTGTGATGGGGTGTTTCTGGTTCTTCCTCACAGAATCTGCAGGTGCCGCCCTCTTGTAAGCCTAGCTTCCTTAGGTGTTCTTTGAGTCTGCAATGCCCCGTTAGAAATCCCGTTATTGCTTTGAGACTTACTTTGCTGAGGTTTTTTAGATCTTTCTCGGTTGAAATTTCCAAGGAGATCTTTAGCCTGCCGTAGTCCTGGAAGTCTTCTCCATTGTATGGCTCTCCAGGCTCCTTCCGCCTTCTCAAGTTCTCCTTGGAAATAGGAATTCCCAAGGCCGCAGAATGGCTCTGGTCCGATCAGTAGCGTTGAAGCCCCTTGTCGTGCCAGAGCGTCTGCTTGTTCATTCCCCTCCACTCTAATATGTCCTGGCACCCAGGGAGGATCACTTTATTGTTGCTGCCTAGCTCATTCAATTTGCTTAGGCATTCCCATACCATCTTCGAGTTGATGTAAGGAGAGCTCAACGCTTTGATGGCTGCTTGGCTATCGGATAAAATCGCGATGTCCTTCTTCCGGTATTTCCTGTCTAGGTTGAGCCGAATACCAAGTAATGGTGTTGATGATTACCTATATCCCTGACCCGAAAGCAGCTGAGCATTTTCTTCGCAAAAGTATCGAATGAAAATATTTTCGAAAAATCTGTCTTTTTTATGTGGATTCTATCATACGATTTCGCAAGGAATTGATTTCTGATAGCATGATTTTACATATGATCATGTTCTCCCTGACCAGAAAGCAGCTAAGCAGTTCTATGCAGAAGTATCGAGAAAAAATATTTTCAAAATTTCTGTTTTCTTCGTGTGGAGTCTACCATACGATTTTGCAAGAAATTATTTTTTGATAGCATGAGTCTACGCAGTTTTTTGCAAAAGTATCGAAGTATCGAAAGAAAATATGTTGAAAAAATCTGTTTTTTTCCAGTGGAGTCTACCATACGATTTCGCAAAGGAATTATTTTCAGGAATGCACCGGAATTCCGGCGGTATCACTAAATCCGGCCAGTTGGCGGGAACTGCCGTTCCGGCCGGATCGCTCCGGCCTGATCGCTTTCCGGCCGGAATTTTCGGAACTATTTGGAAATGTTAAAGTTTTGAATTCTTATTATAATTTAAATTCAAATATATGCAAAAATAGAGAAAATTATTTTAAGGTTTTTTCAATTGGTGCCTACTTACCTATTGATAATTCGTTAATTAGTCACAAATATTTTTTTTTTAACTAAATATATTGTTTTTCCAAGAATTACTAAACATATAAATAGTAACTGAAAACATCATTAACAGCCAAATTTCAACAGCAAAGATAACAGCCATATTCTCTGTCATGAAAAAGTCTTATATGATAAGTATACAGTTTACATAAAAATAAATGAGTACTTGAGTAGAATTGTTTTAATTTTGTTAATGCTGATTAAAAATTGATATTTAAATCAATAGTAATTTCTATCTAGGTAAAATTAATGGTAATTAACACTCTGCATAACGTAGCTAGTTTTAAAAAAAGTAAAAATAAATCGGCCTCAATATTTTCAATGTTTTTAAGTATAAAAATAGGCATGCACATACATTTTAAATTTAGGTCCTGATCCGGCAGAGGCCGGAATTCCGGTTCCGCCGGATCGGCAAAATACTCGATCCGGTGCATCCCTAATTATTTTCTGATAGCATGATTCTACACATCATGATTACATCTCCCTGACTCGATAGCAGCTTAGCAATATTTTTGCAAAATGATCGAAAACAAAATTCCCCATATCTGTTTTTTTTGTGTTGTCTACCATACGATTTCGAAAAGAATTATTTCATGATACCATGAGTCTACAAATGCTTACCTATCTCCCTGACCTGAAAGCAACTAAGCAGTTTTTTTGCTGAAGTATCGAAAAAAAATATTTTCAAAATTTCTGTTTTTTTCGTGTGGAGTCTACGATAGGATTTCGCAAGGAATTATTTTCCGATAGCATGATTCTACACTACAAAATACTGTTTTTTCGTGTGGAGTCTACCATACGATTTTGCATGGGATTATTTCCTGATAGCATGATTATACACATAATTACCTAAATTCCTGACCCAAAGGCAGCTGAGCAGTTTTTGACAATAATATCGAAAAAAAAAAATCCAAAAATCTGTTTTTTTTTCGTGTGGAGTCTACCATACGATTTTGCAAGGAATTTAATACCTGATAGCATGATTCAACACATAATTACCTATCTTATACCTGACTTGAAAGCGCAGCTGTGCATTTTTTTTGCAAAAGTATCAAAAATGAAAATGTTAGTCTTTCATACCCTATGATTTGGTAAGGAATGATTATTCGATAGAGATTGATTCGAGACCCAAAAGCAACTGTGCTGTGCTTTCACAATGCTTATAATTTTTTTCTTAAGTAGGCTGCTCTAAAGCTAGGGCGCCTAATATTAATCATGATAATAATGGGTTAGATATTCCTGCTGATTGATTTTGTTCTTGTTATTGTCACCTTTGCTGAGCTTAACTTCATTCATATGTACATCGCATTATCGAACAAAAGCAAGTCAGGAATTTCGATATTTGATAACCAAAAGGGGGGAAACGCGTGCCACTGCTCAATCGGGAAAGTTCGGAAATTCTGGCAGCCAGCGCTGGAAGCCCACTTCACATAGGTAGATAAAGATTTCAGTCCATTCCTATTTTATATTGTACAGAAATGTGAGGGGCACTTGAAAGCCATGAACTGAATAATTACACTGAGTTCAATGCTTGAAAGGAAAGGACATACAACAGAAATGTGGAATCATGGGAAGTTGAAGAAGGAACATCAAAGAAGATAAATACTGCCTAAGTACTTACCTCAAAGCAGAGTGAGTTTAACTGTACTTCTGGTTATACTTCATCAAGTACATGAATAAGTACTGAGGGTGAACTCAACTTCTTCACTAGTACTACATATACATATCAAGAAATGAATAAATATTTTGAAATTTTGGAAAAATCAACGATGAATAGACATAAATAAACAAACCTTATAACCTAACAATTTCAGCTTCTTTTCGATTGGAATGAACAAGAAAACACTAGTCTAGGGCTAGCACCTTCTGAGGAGGCGAACGTACCCGAACGTAAGAATGTCCTTGATCAACAGAATTCCTCTAAAAGCGCGAATTTATTTTTTGTTTTGAACATAATTATGTGAGGATCAGAATTTTGAATCATAGATGAATATAGAGAGATCCGTCGTATATCAACATCAATTAGAGCATGCAAAGTTAAATGTAAAATTAAAATATTTTATCTGGGCAGTTATACATATTTGTGATAAAAATGCTTTTTTTCTGTGACTGGAAAAAAGTTTGGCATTTCAACTCTGTTGGCAGGTTATAAAATGTCACCTTTCATAAATTACTTTTTTCCCGTGGGAAAAAAGTATATACTTTTTTCCCGGACATATATCACAAATATATACCTATACGCCTACACTCTATTGATGGCTTTTGTTGTGCTATATAGTTCCGAAAAATGAGTCAATAAAATACCGTCTCCGAGAAAGAACTGCAAGTCCTTTTATCTTCCATTCTCGCTTCCATTCGACTTCGCGGTTACGCGTATATTACTAAACAACCAATAACTTCGCAATTTTTTGAAATCAAATCACGGAATTAGACTGACAGAAGTGACATCAGATATTCAGATATATATTCGATTAGGTACTTTAAAAGAATGATAAAGATGCCTACAACGCAGGTGTCGTCCCTACTGTTAAAAACTTTGAATTTCACGTCGATAATTTTCAGATTTCAAAAAAATGTAGTTATATATATCTTCTCAATATTATTGATTCGTCCTTTCTTCTGTCATAGAAAAAAATAGTGTATTATACACGGAAAAATATTAGATTTTAGCTCACGGTTTTTTGAACACATCCTGGAGCTAAATAAATCGACTACTTTTTTCCCTTGTATAATAAATAACTATTTGGTCTGCAAAAATCATTTATCAGACTCCTGCTGACGTAGGCGATGTAGTATCCCAGGCAACGACGAAGGCACGACGTCACTGTGACGTCCCTAATTTTGGCGATTTTTCGTCAGAGACGTCACACACCAATTTATGACGCCACTATACCCTAACAACACGAGTACGTCCCAGGGACGTCCTTCATTTTCTACGAGGACGTCCCTGGGATATCCTGTGTTGGGACATGGTACATACTAGGGACGTCCCAGGGACATCCGCTTTCCACAAAAAGAGGCATCCTAGGTATGTCCTTCTGGTACGTCCCTGAAATGTACCAATTACGAAGCAAGGATATCCCTAGGACGTCCCAAGGATATCCCAGGGACATCCCTTCGACAAAAGAAAAAAAAATGTAGGTAGAGTACGGATTGAACCCGGGACCTTTAGCTTATCAGGCACGCATCTTACTCCATTGTCTATTGAGCCTTCTGAAGATTTATGTACTAAACAGATTTATAAACAGGACTTAACTACAGAAACCTGAATAAGTAAATACAACTTTGTTAGGATTTGGGTATAATTATTATATACCTATCATTCTTGGGTGTTTAAAAATAAGGGGCATTATGCATGTACGATTTCTGCTTGCGAAAAATGGTAATTTCCTAAGAAGTTCTGAGACTTTATTGTTTATTTCCATAACGATTATTTTCCGGAAGAAAAACAAACATTTTCAAATAAATGCAACTTGATACTTTGATGAAATTCAATGACTCTGATGTGATTGGATATCAGATATTCCAGGGACACGAATAGGATAACCTAGGGATGTACCGGGCGGGATGTCCACTGAACAACCACTGCGCGACTTCCCCTGGATGCCCCAATCATGTCCTTGTACCGCGGGACAAAAAAGGGACGTACCTAGGACATCCCTGTGTTGTTAGGGTATATGACGTACTTTCTATGACGTGAGAATCATGTCATCATCTCGACGTCGAGTGAACGTCACTTAGAAGGATAAAATGAGACGTCAGTTTCATGACGTTGCAGGGAGGTCCTGTCGACGTCTATGTTTCCCAGACCATATCGTAACCATGTAAACTTATACATTGTGAAACCGTAGTTTTGTGACGTACCTATATGCAGGATGGGCATTTTCAGTGTCGAAAAGTTTTTAGAAAAAATCGTTTTTTCATTAATTTCACTCACATATATAGAAACTTGTACGTCTTGGTAATTTTTATGTATATATGCTTGTAACGTCGATAGAAAGTATAACTCGCATTATTGAAACAAATCAACATGCAAGTTTTATTGGAATTATATACAGTGTGTCCCAAATTCGATCCTCACCATTGGGATCTCAGTAACTATGAGAGATAGAGAAACGGTTAAATTAGCAAAGTTGTAGCAAATTTAATGTTGAATCATAATCTATCGAGAAATCCGGGCTAGCTTCAGTCATTCTTGAGTTATTTGAGAAAAACTGAAATCTTGTATTTTTGTTTTTCTCGAATATCTCGGAACCTATTGATTTTATGAAAAAATGACTTCAACGTTCTCATAGCGCTTTTTAGTGTTCTTTTCAATGGTTTTGTCAGTTTTCCATCAAAATGTCAAATTTCTGAGATATCACCTACAACTTCAATTTTTCTTATGGACGCCATATTGGATTTTGACAGATTTGAAATCAGCATCAAATTTCCTTTCTAGTGATGTATCACACTCACAGTTTTGTTCTATTTGGGGTACTGATTTCCAATTTTTGTTTTTATGTCAAGTAGGCTATGAATTCTGTGTTCTATGTTCTTGCATAACTTATCGCATGGAATTGGATGTGTACTATTATAGCAGAAAAAAGATTTAATAACAGTTGAATAATACAAATACTGAAAAAAAAATCAATTGAACTGCTCGAAATGGCCCCCATTGTTCTCCATACATTTTAATATTCGCGAGCGAACATGATTCGCTGCTTTTCTCAGATGAACTCTGTTGATGTTCTGGAATGTGTCTATCACCCTATCTCGTAGATCATCAATATCTTGAATTGGATCTTCATAAATTTTATTTTTGGCGTAGCCTCACAGGTAAAAATTGAGAGGCGTACAGTCAGGGGACCTTGGAGGCCATCTCACAGGTCCATGGGTAGTAATTAATTTAGCACCAAATTGATTCTCGAGATATTCCCTAACCAATCGCGTATTGTGCGGTGGGGCACCATCTTGCTGAAACCACATTAACTCATATTCAGCAAGTGGTATCTCGTCTATAAAATTCGAAATTTCATTTCTCAATAGCTCTAAATAACGTGGACCATTCAAGTTATAATCGTAGATTATTGGACCTAGTAGTCTACTGCCTGAAAAAAATACACAATGAGAAACAGTTATTCATGGACCAAAATTCTAGTAAGGTACCAAATATCCCACACCAAACATTGAAACCAAATTTGTTCTGCCACTTTGATTCTCTGATGACATGCGGATTATTTTGTGCCCAGTAATGATGATTATGTTTATTGTAAATTCCATTATTATGAAATCTCGTTTCATTGGTCCAGCAGATATTCAATGGAAAGTTCTCGATTCTTTCACACTGGTTATGGAACCAGTGACAAAACTCGAGACGACGTTCATTATCACCAGGTCTTAACCCTTGTACTATCACTGGTTTGAAAGGGTGGTACTTATCATTCACTAAATGTCTGTGGATTGTTGTTTTTGGCACAAGAGTTCTCCGACTAAGCTCTCGAATTGAAATGGTAGGAGTTTGATTGATGATTCCTTCAATATTTGCAATATCTTGTTCATCCAAGCGCAAACCATACCTTGGCCTAGGTGCAATGAAACTTCCATGCTCTTGCAAATTTCTTTGTAATGTTAGAAAAATAGAAGGATGCGGTTGTTGTCTTTCTGGATATAAATGGAAGTATTGTCTAGCTGTTTCTCTGTTATTTCGATTATTTCTGATATAACAATTGTACATATAAAATTTCTCGAGATTTGTGAACGGCATTGTTTGCCCCGAAATAATTGACTTGTATTTTTTCTTGACGTTTACAGAAATGTCACTTGGCTTACCTTTGCTCCAAGCCTACTCTATGAAAGTTGTGCCAGAACACATTATCGTTAATGTTTATAGAGAACTTAGCGCATAGCCTACTGGACATAAAAACAAACATTGGAAATCAGTACCCCAAATAGAATAAAACTGTAAGTGTGATACATCACTAGAAAGGAAATTTGATGCTGATTTCAAATCTGTGAAAATCCAATATGGCGTCCATTAGAAAAATTGAAGTTGTAGGTGATATCTCAGAAATTTGACATTTTGATGGAAAACTGACAAAACCATTGAAAAGAGCACTAAAAAGTGCTATGAGAATGTTGAAGTCATTTTTTCATGAAATCAATAGGTTCCGAGATATTCGAGAAAAACAAAAATACAAGATTTCAGTTTTTCTCAAATAACTCAAGAATGACTGAAGCTAGCCCGGATTTCTCGATAGATTATCATTCAACATTGAATTTGCTACAACTTTGCTAATTTAACCGTTTCTCTATCTCTCATAGTTACTGAGATCCCAATGGTGAGGATCGAATTTGGGACACACTGTATAATGCCCAATAGAGTTTGAGAGAAAACTTTTCACAAACTTTGACACCCTGTAGGTATATCTTGGAAAGCAATCAGGCAGGTATATATGTATATATACAAAGGATTATATAGGTGTACCTATATTGAAACCGTCACTTTAATGACGTTGCAGTGACGTATCTATGACGTCTAGAAATCACGTTGGTGTGACGTACAAATTTGGTGAGCTTCGTCATTCAGAAAATTTCTCGCTAATTTGCTATTCAGATTTTTGTTGGGTGACAAATAATGCATGAATATACGTTACTCAACAAAGTGAAGCTATTCGCCAACATCCTTTTCATTGCAATCAAACTATGTTTGATTTGCTTACATCTCGGCGCCGACACAAACTGCATAATTTTTTGATACAAATACGGGTAACTGATTTCATTCTGATGGAGATGCGTACTGAGGGATAGCGCTGCTGAATAGACGATTGAATGGACATGACACCATCAGAGGGACCACCAAGCGAACTCAACAATGCATAAGCAATATATTATATGTCATCATTGCAGATGTCAGTGGTGATTATCATACCATGTTTGAGGAAACTTTTTTACGTGTCATCACCAAATTTGAAAGTCATTTTGACGTCATTTCGACGTCAGCCCAACGTCACAGTTAGGTGAGTGAATGACATCAATAAACGAGAGTAATATGACGTCATGGGGCTGTGACTCATTCACGTCATTTATCACGTTATACGACCCCAACTCCTGACATAACCTTGGTCATTCAACTGACGTGAAAAGACGTCACTGAAACGTCATC